ACTATCGATCTCACTCAACGGGACACCACGGGACACCACGGGACATCTCGGGGCACCACATCGATCTCAACATCGATCTTACTCAACGGGACACCACGGGACGCCACGGGACACCTGTCGATCTCACTATCGATCTCACTATCGATCTCACTTTTTGGGACACCACGGGACACCACGGGACACGTCGGGGCACCACATCGATCTCAGTATCGATCTCAATATCGATCTCACTCAACGGGACACCACGGGACATCACGGGCTACCACGGGACACCGCGGGATCTCACTATCGGTCTCATTATCGATCTCACTCAACGGGACAACATAGGACACCACGGGACACCTCGGAACACCACGGAACCCCTCGGGACACCACATCGATCTCACTAGCGATCTCACTATCGATCTCACTTTTTGGGACACCACGGGACACCTCGGGGAACCACATCAATCTCACTATCGATCTCAGTATCGATCTTAATCAACGGGACACCACGGGACACCACGGCACACCTGTCGATCTCACTATCGATCTCACTTTTTGGGACACCACGGGACACCTCGGGGCACCATATTGATCTCACTATCGATCTCGGTATCCATCTCACTCAAAAAGGACACCACGGGACACCACGGGACTCCGCGGGACACCGCGAGCGACCGCTGGACGGACGGACGGACGGGGGAGAATCATTTGTCTTGACTTCGCCCTAGCAGCGGCGGTCACTACGGGACACCACGGGACACCACGGGACACCGCGGGACACTGAGGGCCACCGCCCGACGGACGGACGGACGGGGGAGAATCATTTGTTTTGACTTCGGCCTAGCAACGGCGGACACCACGGGACACCACGGGACACCGCGGGACACCGAGGGCCACCGCCGGACGGACGGACGGACGGGGGAGAATTATTCGTCTTGACTTCGCCCTAGCAGCGGCGGACACTACAGGACACCACGGGACACCACAGGACACCGCGGGACACCGAGGGCCACCACCGGACGGACGGACGGACGGGGGATAATCATTTGTCTTGACTTCGCCCCAGCAACGGCGGGTTCATTCCTCTCGCGCGCCCACGCAGCTTCGCATCGCCCGCACGCACGACACGAACGAAACAAAACGACTTCCCGGTTGGAGGTCTCCGTTCCGCTGCGATCTCACCCCCCAACGTCCGATCACGCCACCCTTCTGGTGATAAGGAGGTTGTGGGGGAAAGAACCGACTGAGGACAACTGAGATGATTGTGATGGTGACGGTACTGGTGATGCGCTCACGGGTTGGCGATGATGCAAGACGACGATGCTGACGACAATGTACGATGGCAATCGGCTGACAGACTGGCGAAGCCGGCGAAAAAATATGGTGGCAATGACGACAGTGGCAATTATTTGGCCCCATATCTTTTTGACGATGATTGCGGCGATGAGGAGTGTGATGATGAGTATGGTGGTGGCGAGTGTGGAGATGAGTGTGATCGTGGTGTGTGGAGCTGAGTATGGAGGTGAATGTGATGATGGTTGCGGTGATTGCGGTGGTGGCTGGGCACCGACGGGACACCGACGGGACACCGACGGGGCACCGACGGGACACCGACGGGACACCGACGGGTCACTGACGGGACACCGACGGGACACCGACGGGACACCGACGGGACACCACGGCGGGACACCCCCGGCCACCGCCTGCGGACACCGACGGGGCAACGACGGGACATCACGGCGGGACGCCCCTGGCCACGGCGGCCCACTGGAGGGGCGGTCCTTTGTCTTGACCTGCCCGAGCCACAGCAGAATCACTCCTCTCGCCCGGTCACGCAGCTTCGCCTTGCCCGCACGCACGACGCGAGCCCGAAACCGAGACCGATTTCCTGGTGGGGGGCTCTCCGTTCCACTTCGATCTCACCCCCCTCAACCTCCGATACACAGCCGAGGAGGATAAGGAGCATAAGATGTCTGACAGCGACGCGGGGGACGAGGAGGACGAGAGCAGGGTATGGGGGGACAAATGCGCGCTAAGCAAGCGTGGCGGCACGTCGCAGGCCAGCCGCGGTACGGGCAGGCAGTACGAGAGGGGACAGCAGTGGCAGCAGGCGGGGCGAGGCGTGGACGAGCCGATGTCATCAGAAGCTCGGTCTACGTGGGAAACTTTGTCTTACGACGTCGACTGGTGGTACCTGAAGGACCACATGAAGCAGGCAGGCAGCGTGGAATTCTGCAGAATGCTCACAAAGGACGGGACCGTCTACGGCAGATCGTTCGGGTACGGTCAGGTACGCTGCTCCACAGAAAAGGAGGCTAAGAAGACCATGGCCACGCTGGACGAGACGGAGCTCAAGATCCGGAGTGCACCATCGTACACAACTACTGCCTGGCGCGAGCTGGCGGCAAGGACTGCTGCAGCCGATCAGCGCGGGCGAGAGTTTCCGGCAGTGGGGCGGGATGCGGGGAGCTGAACGCGGCGGCCTGGCCAGGGGCCTCGAGCGCCTGGCCGCGGGGCGGCTGTGTGGGGGAGTCCGCATGGACGTGCGAGAGGAGGAGGAGGAGGAGAAGGAGGAGGAGGAGGAGGAGAAGGAGGAGGAATAGGAGGAGGAGGAGTGCACGAACACATATACGGACCTGCTTCGCTTGGCTGGCCGCGCAACGGCACCCTCGAGACATGAACGCGTGGGGTTCGCGGCACTCGAAGTGCGGAGCGAGCCGAGGAGTGTCGCGTGACACCTCAAGTCGACGAGCACGTTGTTGCGGAGGGCGTGCAGCGGAGCATTCACTGCAGTGGCTCCCTTGCCAGACCTACAGCTGCACTGCACACCGGGCACGCCGAACACAGCGGGCCCCGCACCGTGCCGCTCATCGCAGTGAAGATCTCGCTCGAGAGGCCAGCCAAGATGGTGAACGAGTGCCCTCGGTCCCACCAGGACTTGTCGTAGGACGGCAACATGCTGAAGTCAGTCTGGGCGCAGTCGTAACATGTGAGACATCGTCGAGGTCGTAGGTGGGGTCGATCGCGTCGGCAGTCACGTCGGGTGAGTCGTCGCGTCGACAAGGGCGCACATTCTCGTGACCATGCGCAGCTGCGGAAGCAGGAGGGTCAGGAAGGTCGTGGGGAACCGTTGGGTGATCATGTATGGATTGAGGAACCTCGATTGTGACTCGAAGACCGTCTCGGCGGCCCACGTCAACGGGATCACCACCAGGTTCTGCAGCGCCGTGGACGACAAGCAGGTGCTGACGATGATGAGTCGACTCGCGGAGATGTTGAGGAATGCCCGCAAGTACCACAATCCCAGGAAGGCTGACGGCGCGTGCCATCATCAGAACAGCCTCGCGTATCGCCGTAATGAACCAGCCGGTGCAGACGTTCGTAGATGCGGCAGTCGATGGCCACGCATACGTCCTTCACCAAGGTAGTGTGCATCTGACTCACGGTGCGGAATTTTGACCTCATGAGGACTACGGTCGGGAAGTTTTGCTTGGCGTGTCGCGGAGGCGGCCCCAGCGACAAGCTGTGCCCTGCGAGCTGATAGCGTGTCGCTCCGCTCCGCGGGAGGCTGGGAAATTCTCGGGACGTGGACGCCTGGAGACTGGGACGTGGTCGGTATGTCGCGTCGAAGCGCGGTGGACCAGGAGCGGCGGCGCGACACGCTCACCGAATGTTTCCGACCGTGTGTTGGGCATCGTTGCGAAGCCGCCGGGGTCTGCCGTCGTGCACGCAGAAGAACTCGAGACAGCAGGTGGCGCAGGGTAGGTGGCTTGCTCCGCGGGCACGGGCTACTTGCAGTCGTGCCTGTCCAACGTCGAGCGCGGCCCCAGCAGCTCCGCAATACGTGCTGGAGCCAGTAGTTGGCATCCAGACCGAACTTCTTGTGGAGGATTGTCTTGAAGACGAACTGTGACTGCTTAGAGGACGTCGGAGAAGATGACATTCTCAGGCTTCGAAAGGCGTCGATTGCGTCGCCGAGGTGCCAACGTCCCGAGGACCCTCCTATGTTTGGCATGGTTGGTCGTCGAGCTGAGGCGTGATGAGCAACGCCTCGGCCATGTCTGAGAGCCCAGGCCAGACAGTGCAGCTGCGAAGCGCCGCTCCCGTCGACGGGAACTCCTGGCCACGCGAGCGCATGATGGTGAGGCGCGCAGTCATCGGGAAGCAAATCACGGTGCAACCTGCCGTCATCGGTGGCAGTCCGGGGAGAGAGCGAAGACGACGCCCCACTCAGGCGGCCGGGCCGGACGCGGGTGAAGCGGATGGGGACGTGGCCGCACGGGCAAGACCTGGGCAGCGAGGCGCGTCTCGGCAGGTCGAGGTTGAGCCGAAATGGCTACGGAGGCATGATGATGACGATGATGATGATGACGATGATGATGACGATGATGATGATGATGATGATGATGATGATGATGATGATGATGATGATGATGATGATGATGAGGATGATGATGATGATGAATGATGATGACGATGACGATGATGATGATGGTGGTGGTGGTGGTGATGATGAGGATGATGACGGTGGTGGTGATGATGATGAGGATGACGAGGATGATGATGTTGGTGATGCCGATGATGCTGAGGGGGACGAGGAGGATGAGGAAGAGAGGGAAGCTGAGGAAAGAGGTGGATAGAGAGAGAGAGAGAGAGAGAGAAGGCTTGTGCGGAGTAGGGCGAGGAGGACGAGGGCAGGGGGGAGACGAATAGGACAAGCGGAGACGAGAGGGACACAACATCCTGCAAGAGATCGGGTCCTCAACCACCCAAACTTGTGTGCCATGGCGGGCCGACCCGTCCGCGGGGCCTCGTCCCGTTTGGATCTCTCAAGACATCCGTGCCCTCGCCCCGAAATCATTATTTCAATCGGTCGGGCTGACCTGTCCGGCGGGCGTCACTCCAAAGAGACACCGACGATGTCACCAGCATGCCTTGAAGCATGCTGCTCGATCTTCGCGCCACAGCCGATTTCCTGCAGACTCAAGCTTTCAGGCAGAATCGATCCCCAAGTCCTCCACATTGACCCCGTCCAGATCCGTGTTCCTGACCTGAGAGAGCACCAGCCGTACACCCACGCCCTACCCCCTGCCGTCGCTCGGACGCCCGTTCCCCCATGCATCTTTCGGTGCCTTGCGCGCCTCTTCGTGCTGTTCGATGATCCAGGATGCTCCTCGATGGTCCTCGCCGAAGGAAATTCGGGAGCGGCCAAGAGGGGGGTGTCCAAGAGGGGGGGGGCAAATCATGACCGGCCGCATGTGCGCGGCCCAGCGGGGGGGCCAGGGACGTAATGAAAAACAAGAAGAGGCGCCATGACATCTGGGGAGGTATCATGGCCCCCCGCCATGATACCCCCCCCCCTACACGCCGGTCGGAAGAAGTAGGTAAGAACATGAAGTAGGAAGGCGGTTTAAGTTGATTGGGTCCAGGCCCTCCCAGAGAATAACAAACCACAGAAAAAACGTATCGGCTCTTGAAGTAGGAAGGCGCTTGAAGCAGATTGGGATCTGGGAATCCAGACATACCTGCTTTCAACGACCGGTGTGTAATCCTCACCCCCCCCGTTTTCCGCCCCCGAAACACGCACACGTCCGAGGGGTGCCACGATCCCTGCCGGGCCCACCCCTGCGCGCAGGACCGCCGCGCGCGCGCCCTCCCCGCCCTTTGCCGCAAAGGGCGCGCGCGCGCCGACCACTGAGGGCTGCGCGGGGTGCGCCCCCGGCCGGCATCGGCGCACGGCCGGAGGCGTGCCAGGAGCAGCGCGGCGCGAGGGGGCACTTTTTGTTTTGGGGGGGGGGGGGGGGGGATTGGCTCGAGGGGGGATTGGCTCGAGGGGGGGATTGGCTCGAGGGGGGGGATTGGCTCGAGGGGGGGGGGATTGGCTCGAGGGGGGCGATTGGCTCGAGGGGGGGGGGATGGGCTCGAGGGGGGGGATCGTCGACATGGAATCGGCGACGCAGTCGGGCCGCTGAGAGAAGGAGCGCCAAGCAAGGAACGAGGCCCCTTCTTGGCCCCGCGAGCGCCCCCGTGCCCCAGGAGGGCAAGAGGAGCAGCACTGGAGGAACCAAAGGGACATCGAGCCCCTTCCGAACCCAAGCTGGTTCTCATTTCAGCGTCCTGGCTGTGGGCCCTCCCGTGGTGCATCCGCGCGCTCCCGGGCGGAGTGGGCGGTCGGGCCCCCGTCGGCAGGGACTGGGCGAGTCGGGGTTGCTGCATCCCCCCCCCCCCCGGAGCCTATCCCCCCGCAGCACTGCCCGCGATGAAGTGAGGAGCGAGTCAAAACATCCTCTTGGCCCCCGCCGCGCCCGCATCTGCGAGGAGCGCTGGTCAGGAAACGCCCGCGGCCAGGGCCCGAGGAGCCCCGACGGGCCCCCTCCAGAATCAACGGCGGCCCCTGCGCACCATTGTCTAGTCGACGATCCTCATAACGCGTGTTGGCGCCAGCGTGATTCGCCCGCCGACGCCCTCCGCTGCGCCGCAGGCTGCGTACACCCTGCGAAATGCTTAAGAAATCATGGGTTAAGAAATTCATAGTCTCAGATTTCGAATAAAAGCCCAGAACTTGTATTAAAACCTTGGGACTTACATTGAAACATTCAGAATCATCGAGACTCTGGCCGAAGACGTACATTTTGTGAAGCATCGCCCAGGGTGTAGCTGCCGAGGGCCCTCACGGGCTGCGTGCTGCCGACGGAGCTGCGGGGGGGCAGCGCACGCGCCCCGAGGACCATCGACTTGGACCCGTGGGCGCGCGGCTGGCGCCCTCTGGGTGACCTGCACCACCAGCTTCAGCGCGGGCCGGACCGGCTGGGCACAGTGGCCGAGGGGCGCCGACATCACAGGGCGCGGCAGCACCTGTCCAGTCGCCCGCGGGCCGGATGCCACGCCAGGGGAGCTCGAGCACGGATCCGCCCCGGGAGCAGGCCCCGAGCTGCGGTGGCGAGGCTCCGAGGGTGGGCAGGGGTGCGCAGGAGGGAGTGATGAATATGATGAGCATGGATACGATGATGGCGGTGATGGTCAGGATGATGAGCATGGGCATGGAGTCGAATCACATTGCAATGATGAGGACGATGATGCTGCTGCTGCTGCTGCTGATAAATGGCCATTATTGGGCGGTGGTGATCAAGATGCCGAGATGCTGGCCAGGACGATTATGATCACGATGATGAGTGGGAGGATGGGGGTCACGTTATTGATTACGATCTTACTGACGATGAGGCGGGGGCCGTTGTGGAACAAAACGATGTGGTGGAATGACCAGCTTGCTGAAATGTACGACTCGGGCTACAGACCAATCGTGGGCAATCTCAGGCCAAAAATAGCCTGGTAACACGGTCGGATTCGGCACAGGAATACGTGAATGAACGAACCACTCCAGGAACGTGCTGCAGACATAGATGGACCACGCTGAACCGTGCTACAACAAAGCTGGTCACGACCGACTATCCGCGCGGGCGAGCAACCACGGCATCCGCCGGCTTGATTTTTCCTGGACATGTCCCACCCAAGCGCGACGACCTTCGTGCGGATGCGTGTGGCTTCATCCAGAGCTGCATTCTTTGCTGGCCGGTGCCGGGGCCTGGCCTCCAGACGCCCCAAGCGGCAATCGCGCCGACTCTCCGAGCCTCCGGCCAGGAGAGCCCAGGATCGGATCGACAAGTCGGATCGGCGATCGACATGAATCGGATCGTCGGAAATCGGCAGCTGAGTCGGGAAAAGTCGGATCGGCAGAAATCGGCAGGCTAGTATGCCTCCAATAAGAAATCGGAGCTCAAATCGGAATCCCAGATCGACTCGAATCGGAATCGGAAACCATCGAAATCGAATCGAATCGAATCGGAGGAATCGAAACGAGCCCTGTCCGGCTGTCGGCCTAAGAGAAGACCTCAACCGCCCCCGATGCGCGGCACGCAGCCCGTGGGGTGTTTTGGCACGGAGCTCGACGCGCAGGCCGAACACGCAGATCTGGCGCGGTGCGCTCGCCGGAGCGTGGCCCAGCACGCGTTGGTTGCGTGGCAAGGCGGGCGCCTCGGGGCAGCTCAGGACGAGAAGAGTACGATAGGCCTGCATTCCACCACCACCACCATCAGTTGGAGGGGGAGGGGGTCCTCCTCCTCCTCCTCCTCCTCCTCCTCCTTGTCCTCCTCCTCCTCGTCCTCCCTCTCCTCCTCCTCTCCCTCCCCCTCCTCCTCCTCCTCCTCCTCCTCCTCGTCCTCCTCCTCGTCCTCTACCTCCTTCCCCCCTCCAACTTAACGAGAGTGCCGTGTGCCTGCGTGGCGACCCCCTCCCACAGCCCGGCGGCGAGCCTCGGGGGGGGGAAGCGAGAAGGGGCAGGCCTTCTCGGAAAGCTCGCGGCCTTCCGAGAAGTCCTCGCGGCTCTCCCCGAAGACACGACCGAGGCCTCTCCGAGGGGGCGCGAGGGCCTCTGAAGCGTCCCGCCGCCTTCGGAGGAGGCCTGCTTTCCCTCTCCCCTTCCCTTCCGCACCCCCTGCGGAGCGCGCCGCCTGGGTGCTGCAACTGCCACATCACACGCTTCCCTTCTGCCCCGCCGCCCAACCTCCCCCCCCCCCCTGCCTGGCCACAGAAGGCCTTCTCCTTCTCGCTTCCCCCCCTCGCTCGCCGCCGACACAGGAGAAGGGTACATTTAAGTCGGGCCTGTCCCCCTACAGGGGGATTTTCGACGGACAATAAAAAATACCCCCAAAAATACGCCAAAAAGGAAACATGTATGCAACAAATAATCCCCAGACTATTTTTGGACAATTGTTTGATTATGTTTGGGGTATCTTTTATTCTTCGTCGAAACAATCCCCCTGTAGGGGGACAGGCCTGACCTACGGGTACTTACATTGGGACGGCCTCGGGCGCCCTCTGGGCGGCTCCCTCGCGCCGAGAAGAGCCCGGCCGAGTCTGGCGAGGGGCGGGGGAGAACGGGCGAGCCGGGAGGAGGCGGCAGAGGCGAGGACTGGGGAGGACGAGGAAGGGGAGGGGGGGACGAGGAGGACGAGGAAGGGGAGGGGGGACGAGGAGGACGAGGAAGAGGAGAGGGGGGACGAGGAGGACGAGGAAGAGGATGGGGGGACGAGGAGGGCGAGGAAGGGAGAGGGAGGGGAGGAAGATGCGGAGGAGGAGGAGGCGGAAGAGGAAGGAAGAGGAGGGGGACGAGGAGGACGAGGAAGGGAGAGGGAGGGGAGGAAGATGCGGAGGAGGAGGCGGAAGAGGAAGGAAGCGGAGGGGGATGATGATGATGATGATGATGATGATGATGATGATGATGATGATGATGATGATGAGGAGGAGGAGGAGGAGGAGGAGGAGGAGGAGGAGGAGGAGGAGGGAGGAGGAGGAGGAGGAGGAGGAGGAGGAGGAGGAAGACGAGAGCAGAGACGAGGAGGGAGAGGAGGGGGATGACCACACCACCACGCTGCAGCCGCCGCCCTCACGTCCTCATCTCTCTCTCTCTCTCTTGTGGTCATGCCTTCTCTTTCTCCTCTTTCTCTCTCCCCGTGCTCTGCAGTCGTTCCTCGTTTCTTTCACCATTTTTCTACCAGCCGGTGACGCACGTCACCTGGCTCACAAGTTTGATCATCCCCCCAGGGCCGACCCGCCCGAAGGGGGGAAGGGCAGCGTCTGGCAGACTTTTCTGCCTTCAGGCTCTCGGGCTGTCAGGGGGCCGAGGGAGGAGGAAGCTGATGAGGACAAGCAGGCGGAGGAGAGAGGAGGAATACGACATGACGAGGGGGAGGGACGCGCTTCTTGACACGAGGATGAAGAGGGAGGAGGGAGGAGGACAGTGGAGGGAGGGAGGATGGAGGAGGGGAGGTTTGGCTTCCTTTCCCTGCCGAGGGTTGATTTGTGTGGGCAATTCGTTTTTATGTCACGTCCTGAGCTTTCCTGCGTAGATGCACGTGCCTTTTTATATCCTCCTCCTTCTCCTCGTCCCCTCCTCCTCTGGGCCAGTCACAGCTTGATCCTCTTGCCTAGCGGAGGCGTGCCACATGATGAGACGTCCTCATTGAGTGGATGGACCAATCGAAGCCACGTGAGTTCTTGTTAGCCATCACCGGGGTATGGGCTGACCAGACGAGGGTAACGCGCCAAACAACTTGGTTGGCATCGAGGGGCAGACGATCGAACCATGATGCTGACAAATCAAAGCTGAATGAACACGCAGGCTTATCCAACCATGGCCAGTGCTTAATAGCTGCAGTGGGCTGTGCAAATGAGGGTTAAAGGGGACATCATGGGGTGCGCGATTACTGCGAGTCATCCTGGGCTGAACATATCACATAATGAATACAAGTCTATTTTGTTATGAGGATGCATGTGCGATTTAATGTGACGCCACGGACCAAACACATCACCACTGTGCATCCAATCGCAGCAATGCGATCAGGGCATCCTCCCACGATTGGGATCAACGCGCCGCCTTCTGAACCCAACAGACCATGTCGTCCCCATTCAGAACACAGCATAACAAAATCTATGCATAGATGTCGCGGCCTGTGGCCAGCACGAGTGCATGCACACGATGAAGGATATCTGCGCGACCGCACTCGAATCATTTTCTGATGTCCCTCCCGGTCTACCAGGTGACATTCCAACGTCGAAACGTCATCACACTAAATTGCACACCGAGGAAACAACGCTTGTCATCGACCAACGCTTCGTGACACGGGACCCTGACACAAATGCCTGATAATACAAATGCCCGTGGGCTCTCCAAACAAATGTCGGCAATACTCTGAACTCTGTACATATCCCACCCGGCCCTCTGGGCGTAGGTGGTCTGGTCTGGGGAGGCTCCTCTTCTGACCCCCTTCTTCCCCTTCGGGGAGAGGTTCACACCTCCCCCTTCCCCCCCCCCCTGGACCTGGATAGGGGGTTCTGCGAGGGGTTGGAGCGTCCAAGGCGGCCCAAGACGGCTCCGAGAGCGCCTCAGAGAGCCCAAGATGATCTCCAAGATGGCTCAAACTCGCCCAAGGTGCTTCAAGATGGCTCCCAATATGCTCCAAGAGGCCCCAAAGACCGCACCAAGGCGGCCCCACGTTGCCAAATTTCTCCACAAGGAGGCCCCGAAGAGGCAACACTCCTTCCAAAACCTAAAAACAAACTACTGTTGTTTGATTTCTCGCCTTTTCGCTTCCGATGGCCATCCGGGGCCTCGAGATGGCTCCAAGATGACCCAAGAGGGCCCCAAGAGGGGCCCAAGAGAGTCCCAAGACGGGCCCAAGAGCGCCCCAAGAGGCGAATTTAGGCACCCTAGAAGGGCTAGGCTAATTGAATATCACCTCTTTTTTGATCGATGTCTTCCAAGATGGCTCCAAGAGTGCCCCTGAAGCTCCCAAGAGCACTCAAAGAGGACCCCAAGAAGCGCCCAGACGGTCCCAAGAGACGCCCAAGGGGCCTCCCAGATGCTCCCAAGAGATCCTCAAGAGGCCTCAAGAGGATCCCAGAGGCACCCAAGACGCTCAAAGACGGCCGTGGGCCCGCCAAGATGCCCCCCCCCCCAGACGGCCCAAGAGGCCTCCAAACAGCTTCCAAACGACATCCGTGGAGACCCCGAGAAGCATTCAAGAGGCGCCTGGCTCTTCTGTTCGCCCTCCTCCTCCTCCTGTTCCTCCTGACCCGTAAAGTCATCACCCTTCTCCCTCCTCTATCATCCATCCTTCTCCTCGTCCTCCTCCTCTTCCTTCTCCCTCAAACGATAACGACTGTCCCCCATTTTGCTCCTATGCTTCCACGATCGTCTCATCTCGCCTGGTCGTCGGCTTTGGATGGGCTGGTGGGGATACGCGAAGCGTCAACCAGACTCGCCTCTATTCTTGCCAGTGCCAGAGCCACCTACCAGTCCACAAAATCGCAAGCGCAAACAATAGTATATATGAGACAACACTTTGACCTCGTGAAAAGTTTATAGCGGTCACGGGCGCAACCTCTGTGCCTCTCCACAAGTAACGTGAATCCATCATTTGATATGCCGCAGTCCCCTGACGATGACACATCCCCGACATCCTCACTACAACTAGCGTCACTTCCTCACATGCATACTTTAGGCCCCGCACCATCCACAGCACCGTCATCACCACATGTGTAGCCACATATGGGCGACATTTGAATTACAACCATCACGAAAGCACATTATATGATCTCCCCACATGGACACACATGTTATAAGGTGCTCGCGCCGTAATAGCGCTGATGAACGCAACATCAGTATGCGAGTTTTTGCTTTGCTGCCCAAGTCCTGTCCCCCTCAGTCGTCATACATCGATTCCCCCTAGTCTTCGTGCAGCCGCAAGTGCCCCTCTTGCAATGAGTCATCATTGAACATATATATATATATATATTAATACTGAAGAGAATTGAAGCCAGGGGCGATTACCTGGAGACCTTGCCAGTGTAAGTGTCAGGCGGAGGCGCCCGAACAACAGGAGACCACTCCAACTTCACAAAGCGGAGGGTGCGCTTCACAACCTGGCGAATCTTGTCTCATGTCGCTGCCACTTGTACTCATGCGACTGGTCTCAGCATTTTGCCACTTTCCTCCTGCATCTCTGATCCTCGATCGTTACCTGGTGGTTCTCTTGGATGCTCCAAGGGGAATCGCCAGTGGCATCCTCTCTACCCTCTTGCACTTGCCGTTCTCATCCCCTGCAACCCCCCTTCAATCGTGTACGACATTGTGACAGCTCTACAAAACGTGGGAGGGAGGGAGGAAGCGAGGAGTATGAGGAAGGGAGGGTAGGAAGGAGTCCATCCGCTGCTCGCGCCCGAGGACCCTCTGCGCCGCTGACGTAAAAAGTGTGTGTGTGTGTGTGTGTGTGTGTGTGTGTGTGTGTGTGTGTGTGTGTGTGTGTGTGTGTGTGTGTGTGTGTGTGTGTGTGTGTGTGTGTGTGTGTGTGTGTGTGTGTGTGTGTGTGTGTGTGTGTGTGTGTGTGTGTGTGTGTGTGTGTGTGTGTGTGTGTGTGTGTGTGTGTGTGTGCGTGTGTGTGTGTGTGTGTGTGTGTGTGTGTGTGTGTGTGTGTGTGTGTGTGTGTGTGTGTGTGTGTGTGTGTGTGTGCGTGCGTGCGTGTGTGTGTGTGTGTGTGTGTGTGTGCGTGCGTGCGTGCGTGTGTGTGTGTGTGTGTGTGTGTGTGTGTGTGTGTGTGTGTGTGTGTGTGCGTGCGTGCGTGTGTGTGTGTGTGTGTGTGCGTGCGTGTGTGTGTGTGTGTGTGTGGTGTGTGTGTGTGTGTGTGTGTGTGCGTGTGCGTGCGTGTGTGTGTGTGTGTGTGTGTGTGTGTGTGTGTGTGTGTGTGTGTGTGTGTGCGTGCGTGCGTGTGTGTGTGTGTGTGTGTGTGTGTGTGTGTGTGTGTGTGTGTGTGTGTGTGTGTGTGTGTGTGTGTGTGTGTGTGTGTGTGTGTGTGTGTGTGTGTGTGTGTGTGTGTGTGTGTGTGTGTGTGTGTGTGTGTGTGTGTGTGTGTGTGTGTGTGTGTGTGTGTGTGTGTGTGTGTGACTGCGTCGTTCTACGCCTCTCTCCTCGGAGGCCCGATGCATGCGCAAGGGGCCCCCCGCCCCACCACTTTTGGCCCTCCAGCATACTGGCAGACCGCGTGCCCGCTCGACCGTGACGCTCCCTACCCCGACCCTGGGTCCAGCTCCCCCGCCCCTGGATTGGACACTGGGTCCGACCCCACCTTGTGCCCCTCGCTGCTCCCGGGACCCCTGGTGGCCCTTCCCCCGTGGATTCGGGCCGTGCCGACCAGCATCCGGCCAGCCGTGGAGCTCACGCGGCACGGCAGCACTCCCCAGCCTCGTGGACGCTGGCCGCGCTCTTCCAGAGAACTTTGCCGTGGCGCGCCCCTGCCCTTTTCACCATGAGCCTTCGGTGGAGCAGGACTCTTCTGAAGGGGCCCTGGGACACACAAATAAATACACACAAATAAACGTATTTCCCCAATTTTTTTTTTGTTTGTTTGAGTTTTTGTCTTCCCCCCCACTTCCCATATTTTCCTACATTTTCCGGGGGATCGACGATTCATTGTGTCTGTGTGTGTTTTTTCCCCTCCTGACAGGACTCTTCTCGCGCTCCCCCCCTCGGGAACGGAGTGTGCCCCGCGGGCACCCGTCCAGGCCGTCTTGGTGCCTCTCCTGGGGGAGGAAGAAGAGCTCGACAACGCTGACGCCTCGCTCCGCCGTGCCGGCCTGCTTTGTGTGCGGGGCGCGCCAGCGACGCCCGCGCCTTTCCTGCTGCCCCACGCCGGGCTCCGCCCCGCGAGCCCGCTGCTCCTGGGGGGCCACGGGCTGCGAACGAGCTGCTCGGGACTCGCCTCCCCGCCCTTGCTCGCCACCGGACGTCCTCCCTCGCTGGAGTGGGTCCCGTTCCTCCCGACCCCTCCCCGCGCCCGCTGGGCCCCGCGAGGGCCCCCCGCCCGTTGGCGGCGACGTCGCCCCGTGCTCGCCTCACGCGGGCCCTGCCCCGGCCGCTCCTCTGGCTGCTGCTGCACCCGCGGGGCCGTCGGCTGGGAACGGCCAGACCGAGACTCCCCACCTCGGGGTCGCTCCCCACCGCGTGCCCCCCCCCCCCCCTCCCTATGAGGGAATTCTCGGCTCTGGCCCTGGCGCCCCCCCCCCCCCGACCCCCGCAGGGTCCTTCGGGGGCCGCCCGCGCCACCATCGAGGCCGGCGCTGCCTCCCCCCGGGCCCATCGGCAGGGTGTCAGGCGTGGTGCCCCGCTCACCGCCAGCTCGGACGACCACTCTGCCCGGGAGGGGAGCCCTCGCCCCGCGGGGCCTCTGCCCCCAGGCGGGGCCCTCGCCCCGTTTTCGGGGGTCCCCTCTCCACTGGCCGGCGCGCAGGCCTCTGCCGTTTGCTCTGCCCGGCCCTGTGTGCTTCTCCTCCTGCCCGCCCCTTCCCGCCAAGAACTCCCCGGGTGGTCTCGGACCACCAACCCCCTGCTGCGCCAGAAAGGCGACCACGCCACCCTTTCACGCGGGCACAGGTTCCCTACGACGCCTCCGACGTCGTCGGGGGCGGAGACGAAACCCGCTGGTGCGCGGTCTGCACGGGACCGAACGGCTCCGCTGCGTGAGCGTGGTGCACGGGCGGCGGGCGCGTGCAGCCCGTCGATGTGCCCGCGCCAGCCACGCTCTGTCTCCCCCAGCTCGGTGGGTGGCGCAACTCCAAGCGATGGCGGCGGCGCCACGCCCGGGACCCCCCGCGCGGACCTGGTCTCTGTTGCTCCCGCTTTGCATGCCCCCGACGCCGCCCAGGACGACGACCACGTCCCGCTCAGCTTCCCACCCGATTCCGTTCCCGACGCCGTCCCCCCCAAGCTCCCTACGACGCCCCCGGCGCCGCCCAGGACGATGCTCCCGACACCGCTGCCTCCTCTGCCGTCTGCCGACGACGACCCCGACGCCCTTCTTGCGACGCCCCCGACGCTGTCCCTCCCTCAGGTTCCCTGCGACGCCCAAGACGACGCTCCCGAAACCGCTCCCTCCGCTGCCATCTGCCGACTACCACCCCGACGTCGTCCTTTCGACTCCCCTGCCACTAGCGACGCCCCTGTTTCCCTACCCGAGAGCGCCCCCGTCGGCGACCCCGACAACGCTTCTAACGTCCCTGCTGATCATGGACTGCACACCGTCACCCCGCAGGCTCCCTACTGCGCCCCCGACGCCGCCCAGCACGACGCTCACCGAGCACCCCGACGCGGACCCTGCGAAGCACCCGACGCTGTCCCTGACGACGCTCCCCTACGCTGGTGCGGGGTCTGCCGCGGCACGGGCCAGTACGGCTTCTCAACGTGCACGTGTTGCGCAGGCGTGTGCGCCCGCAGCCCCTCGTGTTGCCCGCGCCAGCTGGACTGCCTCCCCCAGCGTGGTTGGCGGCGCTGCCCCAAGCGCGGGCCTCAATACTACGACGAAGCACACCGTCCCCGGGCCCCTCGCTCCCCACCGTGGGGGCGGACCCCCGTGCGGGCGCGGTCCCTGGCGTTCCCGCCTTGCACGTCCACAACGCCGCTCAAGACGACGCTCACGCTCCGCTCAGCTCTGCACCCGACTCCGTTCCCGACTCGGTCACCCTTCAGGCTCCCTGCGACGCCTCCGGCGCCGCCCAGGACGACGCTCCCGACGCTGTCCCCGCCGATGCTCCCCGCCCCCTGCCTGAGGGTGCCCCCGACGCCGACCCCGACGACGCTCCTGCTACCGTTCCGTCGCCTGGTCGACTCCCGCGCCCCGGCCCTGCACCCGACGACCTCCTGACACCCTTCCCTCCCAGGGCCGGCGCCCCCGCCTCGGACCGGCCTGCGCGGGACCTTCGCCCACGCTGCGCCCGGCGGCGATCCGTCCGCTGCGGGCTCGGGCCCGGGCGACGCGCACACGGCCTCGCCCCCGCGCTCCCCCCCCCCCGCATCCCGCCTTGGAAGCCGACCGCGGCGTCGACGCGGCCCCCGACGCCCCTGCTGATCATGGGCCGCACCCGGGTTGAGCACCGCACAACTCCTTCGCGCTTCTTCGGCGCGCCTTCTCGGGCCCGCAGGCCTTTGCCACCCGCCCTGCCCCCTGGGCGCTCACCCTCCCCTGGCGGCACCTATCCGCCGCCCGCCGGAGAGGCGGGCCATCTGCCCCATTGCACGCATGCCGATCGCCACGGCCATCCGGCGCGCTCTTCGGCCCACCCCGCGCCCTCTGCTGGGCCTCTCGCTGCCACAACCCCGACCCCCCGTGCCCCCGACGACGACGCTGGTGGTTCTTCCGCCCGCTCTGGGGGGTTTCCCTACACCCTGCGAAATGCTTAAGAGATCATGGGTTAAGAAATTCATAGTCTCAGAAATTGAATAAAACCCAGAACTTCTATCAAAATCTTCGGATTTACATTGAAAAATTAAGAATCATCGAGACTCTGGACGAAAACTTAGGTTTTCTTAAGCATCGCCCATGGTGTATGCCGGCGTTGCCCCAGGAGTCGCCGCTCGCGGTGGAGACTGCGAATCCCGCCCCCCCCGCAGGGACCCAGCACTCGCTCGGACGTCGCCACCCGCGCCGCTCATCCCTCGGAGCTCGCGCCCCGTCGCAACTTTGCCGCGGCCCCCGTCCCAGAAGACGTCGCCTACTTGGCGCCCGCGCCGACCCCCCCTCCGCGGGGCCTGGGCGCTCAAGGTGGCCGCAGGGCTGGGAGTGACCGCGCTACTTCTGGGCGCGATGGGTGCCTCGCGCTGACTCCTAAGGTCCGCCCTTGCGTACCCGCCGCACCCGATCCGCTGGGAGTCTTTCGGCGTCGATCGCTGCCCAGAATGGCTCCTCCTTGGGGTCGCTCTGGGCCCCCGCGGCCCGCTGCTGTCCTCGGGCGATGTCCGCGCTCTCGGCGTCCGTGCCTCCCCGGCCCCTCGGCCTGTTTTCCTTGCGGTCCGCCGCGCTGTTCTGGCCCTTCTGGGCATCGCTCGGACGTCCGTTCCCTGTGTTTTTTTAGGTTTCGTGCGTGGTCCTTTCGCC